GGGGGGGGGGCAGACCAGCAATCTGTCTTGCATAACGATGACGGTCTCGCAGCGTGAGAAAGGCAGAAGGCGGATCATCCGAAATTCGACCGAGGCAGCAGCAACTCGTCTTGGTCGCAATCATCGTTATCTGCTGCCGCGAAAAAATGGAGTGGAACCCAAAAAATAAAAAATAAAAACAAAAAACGCGCAGCTCTCGTTTTCCACTCTTCCTCCCACTCGGCTCGATTTCGGCGGGGGTCCTGCAAAGGGTGTTGGAGGCCGAAAAGATCAGATCGGCCTGGCTGCCTGCGCACGGAGCGCGGCCTCGATAGAGCTGCTGCAGCATCACCCAGATCGATAGAGGCTCACCACCAAAAAAAAAAAGAAAGAGCCAACGGTAGCCGAGCATCATCTTCGACCCACTCCTCCCACCCCGCCGCCATCCTCAGACCCATCCTCCCCTGCCCACGCGCACGAGCCCTGTGTCCAGACTCTCTTCGTGCTGTCGACAGCCAGACATATCGACGCGACGAGGCTGCTGCACACTACACTCAGCGAGCCGACCGCTGCCCAACCCAGCATCTTTCAGCTTCAAGGCGATCCCCTCCACCTATCCAGCAAGGGCATCCAGCGCACAAAGTAGCAGCGCTCGTTCAACGTGCGCATCAGGCTCGCTTCATTGCCACACGAGAGTCGAGCATCTTCTCGCTCGACATCCAGCCACCTCCAACACCATGCCTCCCTTCGCTCCGGCCGTGCGTGCCGAGAACACCTTCGCCGCACAGTCGGGCAAGCCTGTGCTCGGCAAGTTCACTCCCGCCAACAATGGAGGACAACCTCGAAGGCTCGCCGTCATGACCTCCGGTGGTGACTCGGCGGGCATGAACGCCGCCGTCCGCTCCGTCGTCAAGATGGCCATCGTCCGCGGCTGCGAGGCATTTGTCATCAGAGAAGGCTGGGAGGGCCTCGTGCGCGGCAACCACACGCCCGAACACACCCCTTCCGCCACACCCTCCATCAGCAGGAAATCCTCCACCACCTTCGTCGACACTTCCGACCCCAAGGGCAAGGCGACTCCTCCGGCCGAGCACGACGAGCAGACCGGCTTCGTCCCCACGTACGGAGAGGGCGAGCTGCTCAGGGAAGGCGTCGGCGAGGCGCAGGAGCTCGGCCTCCGCGGGCGCTACATCATCCGCGTCGGCTGGGACGACGTGCGAGGCTGGATGGACCAGGGCGGTACGCTCATCGGCACCGCCCGTTCCAAGACCTTCCGAACACCCGAAGGCCGAGAGCAGGCCGCGTACAATCTCATCATTAACGGCATTGACGCTCTCGCCGTGTGTGGAGGCGACGGAAGTCTCACGGGTGCCGACAAACTGCGCGCAGAGTGGCCCGACCTCGTCGCCTCGCTCAAGGCCAAGGGCAGGATCACCGAGGAGCAAGCCTCCAAGTTTGCTCATCTCAACATCGTCGGCCTCGTCGGCTCCATCGACAACGACATGGCCACCACCGACATCACCATCGGCGCCTCGACAGCTCTGCAGCGCATCTGCGAGGCCGTCGATTCCATCTCCTCCACCGCCGCCTCGCATTCCCGAGCCTTTGTCGTCGAAGTCATGGGCCGCCATTGCGGCTGGCTCGCTCTCATGGCCGGTATCGCCACCGGCGCAGACTACGTCTTCATCCCAGAGCGACCTCCCCAGGGCCAGGAGTGGCACTCCGAGATGTGCGAGGTTCTCCAGAAGCACCGCGACCTCGGTAAGCGAAAGTCGATCGTCATCGTCGCCGAAGGTGCCATCGATCGTGAACTTAACGACATCACCCCCGACATGATCAAGGACGTCCTCTCCAACGACCTCGGCCTCGACACTCGCGTCACCACGCTCGGACACACCCAGCGCGGTGGCAAGCCCGACGCCAACGACCGCATCCTCGCAACGCTCCAAGGTATCGAGGCCGTGGACGCCGTGCTGGAGGCTACGCCCGAGACCCCCTCGTATGTGATCGGCATCAGCGAGAACAAGATCACCCGCATCCCGCTCATGTTCGCCGTCGAGCAGACTCAGAAGGTGGCCAAGCTCATCGAGTCCAAGGACTTCGATGGCGCCCTCGACCTGCGCGATCCCGAGTTCGCAGAGGGTCTGCGCGCGTTCAAGTACATCAGCCAAATCACCGACGACGAGATGCTGCCCGAAAAGAAGCGCCTCCGCATGGGCATCATCCACGTCGGCGCTCCTGCAGGCGGCATGAACGCCGCGACTCGCACCGCAGTGCGCTACTGCCTAGCCAAGGGCCACGATGCCGTGGTCATCTACAACGGTTTCCCCGGCCTGCTCGAGGACAACGTCTCGGTGCTCAACTGGCTGCGTGTCGACAACTGGGCCACAAGAGGCGGCTCCGAGCTCGGCGTCAACCGTCACCTGCCAGACATCGACATCGGCGCAGTGGCTGCCAAGCTGCAAGAGCACAAGATCGAAGGCCTGCTCATCGTCGGCGGCTTCGAGGCTTTCAGCTCGGTCAAGATCCTCAACGACAACCGCGATCGCTACCCAGCCTTCCGCATCCCAATCGTGGGCCTGCCCGCTACCATCTCGAACAATGTGCCGATGAACGAGTTTTCGCTCGGTTCCGACACCTCGCTCAACGCCCTAGTCGATGCATGCGACGCCGTCAAGCAGTCGGCTTCGGCTTCGCGCAACCGAGTGTTCGTGGTCGAGACGCAGGGTGGCAAGTGCGGCTACATTGCTGTCATGGGTGCCCTTGCCGCCGGTGCTGTGCTCGTCTACACGCCCGAGGTGGGCATCGGTCTGCACCAGCTCGGCAAGGATGTGGCTTTCCTCAAGAAGCGTTTCCTTCTCGACGTCAAGGGCAAGTCCGAGGGCAGGCTGGTCATCCGAAACGAAAAGTCGTCCGACGTGTTCACCACCGAGGTCATCACCAAGATTCTCAAGGAGGAGGGCAACAGCCTCTTTGACGCGCGATCCGCGAGTCTCGGTCACACGCTGCAGGGCGGCGTGCCTTCGCCGTTGGACCGTGTGCGTGCGACGCGTCTGGCGCTCAAGTGCTGCGAGTTCCTCGAGGCCGAGGCGCTCAAGCAGCGCAGCTCGTCGTCCACATCGTCCAAGATCGGCGCGGGCGCGTCTGAAAAGTCGTACTCGGACCAGACGGCCGTGATGATCACCATCCAGGGATCCACCATCTGCTTCACCTCGGCTACCGAGATGGCCAGGAATGCGGACATGAAGAACCGACGCGGCAAGACCGCGTGGTGGCACGAGTTCAAGGCGCTCGTCGAGCTGCTAGGCGGCCGCACTTCCCTGGCAGAGCTGTAGTGAAATGTAATCTAGACGTTGGCAATCGAACCGAGTGTGGTAAGCTGGTCCTCGTTGCAGATGGCTGAGGAGAGCGTGTGATATTGTTGGAGACAGCAGATGGCGTAGAATACAAGGAGGCGGTGCTTCAGCGCGATGTGACGGCGTCAGCGGAAGCTTGCCGGAAGTTCGGAGCTAGAAGATGCAGATGCTGTTTGGAGACGATGCGATGCCGCCCTTGACTCGGTACGGAGCCGAGGTCAGGAAGAAGGTCCAACGCTGATGCTTCTGACACGCAGCCGAAAGGCGTTCGAGGTCGAACAGCTCGCCGATGGGGCATCCCCACATCGGCAGCAGCCATTCGTGAAGCCACAAGTCACCGTGAGGGCCGAATTCGAACGAAGGGTTGTCGCTTGCCACTGCGGCAAAGTGGCTGTTCCACAGCCATCGCTTGACGTCTTCGGTCGCTTCGATGCCAGGAAAGTTGTCGTTTTCAATCATGCCCTTGACCTTGTCCTCGTCCGAAGCCTGCTCGAACCACCGCACCACGCCCGTTCTGAGGAGGAGGATGTCGCCCGCGCGCAGTTCCGTGTTTTGCCATTCGAGCACCTCCTTGATCTGCGAAAGGGGAATCGGATAGGATGAGTTTCCGGCCGGGATGGGCTCGGTCTTTGTGGATTCCCACCAGTGCACCCAATCCACGAGAACGCCTCGGCCGGCGATACCGCCGCTCAAGCACCAGGCGTGCATGCTGTTCTTGGCACCCTTATCGATGGTGCCAGAGTGGAGATCGTCGTGCTTGAGGCCGTTGTAGTAGGTGCCCGTGGCCTGGTGGGCAAAGTGATTGAAGCCATCCCATTGCGACGAGGTCTGGGTGTTGAGATGCAGCTCGTCGTCCGTCGCATAGACGCCGAGCTTCTTCTTGAGGTCGAGGAGCTCGTGGTGAAAGTGCTTGCGTTTGTTCGCGGGGACATCGACGCTATCAAGACCCCAGTCGATCTGGACTCGATCACCGGTGCGGATATTTTCCTGTGCCGCACTCGCCACGACCTCGGGTGTGAGCAGATTGAGCGTACCAAGCTGGTCATCTTCGCCCCACACTTTCCATGCGCATCCATGAGGCATGCCAGCTACCGCAGGAATGTCATCAAAGTCCGGGACCGTGTTGGCGGCCTTGGACCCACCGAAGGCATGGCTTTGGCTAGTTGAGGCTGTCGCAGTCATTGCCGGTCGAACAGGTCAGCGCTGTCGCTCTAGTCAGAAGGAAATCAAGGGTGGGGTTTTGGTGGTGGTGAGGAGAGTTGATGTACTTCGGACGTGGCCGAACTTTGCCCTTCCAAGCTGGGTGGCAACCGGAGTCGTTCATCGGCTTCTCACCGATACCGCAGATGCGAGGGCCTCCAAGCTCACTCGCCACAGCTCAGCTCGACGGCAGGCCCGACCATGGCTTGCACTTTCTCAGGGTGGAGGCGGAAGCTGCAAGCGAATTTGGCAAGCCCTGCGGAGCTCCCCCACAGACTTCTGTTTTGCATCGGCGTGGGCAGCCGCCCAATTCGCCGATGCTTATTTTTCTGCCACCGGCCAACTGGCCGAGGTCGCCGACTCTAGACCTCTGACCCCATCGCTCTCGCTCTTGTTCAAGCATCCATTACAACTTCGTAACTCATCAATCACACTGACTCTGCCGTCATTCGCTGTCTCGGAGGCAAGAGAGTGTTGGCGTATTACTGGGACGGGTATTCTCCACAAAACTCGGAACTGCCTCAGTAGGGGTTATACACGTGTGCTGCACCGGCTCGCTGCTCTGCTCCGCTCGTTGTCGCAAGGCAAGAGCAGAGAGAGGCGCGTGGTGCGCACAGACGTTCATGAGGCTTTGCGGCTCCTCAGACGAGGGGCTCACCAGGGGGCTCGTAAGCGTCGGTCTCCACCTGGCCCTTCTCGGTGACCGAGGTGTGCTCGTAGGTAGCGTCGAGACCGGCCTTGCGAGCCGAGGCGACTCCAGCGCGACCAATGCCAAACTTGTCGTTCGGCAGCCAGATGGGCTTCTGCTCGCCCGTGAGCGATGGGTGGTAGAAGGCCGAGTCGTGCTCGTCCGAAAGAGCCTCCTGCTTCTTCTCGCCGTTGGGCACGCCGTTGTCGTAGCCAGTTCCCTGCGAAGCGGGCGTCGCCTCCATGCTGAACTTGCCCTGGCCGTTGGGCGCCCTCTTCTCGTTGAGCGCCGTCTCGTTCGAGGTGCGGCTGTTGCCGGCAGCCGCCTGCGACTCGCCAACGGTCAGCGAGAGGGGCAGAGCGGTCTCGAGCTCGCGGAACGAGTCGTTGAGGAAGTAGTGGAATCCGACGACAATGACGATCAGGACCACCATGAAGGCACCTTCGGGGATCGCCGACTGCGTCTTGTTGCCTTCAGGTCCCGACTGCGCGAGGAAAAAGATCGCGGTGAGCATGACCATCTCGACGTACAGACCGGCAAAGATGTGGCGGATGGCCTTGCCAAAGAAGAGACCCGAAGTCTCGCTGGGTGGCTTGGTGTCGTAGACGTAGAGGAAGAGGTACTTGTAACCAAAGAAGAACAGCAGGAAGGTGAATGCGACAAAGCCGTTGATGATGGGCGCAATCACCACGTAACCGGTGCCGATGACCGTGATGAGTGTCATGGACGGGAAGAGCGTGCCCCAGGCGACACCGCTAGTGTCGTGGTCAATGTGCCACACCTTGCGAGGAGTCGAGGCGAGCAGGAACTTCTTGACGTAGTAGACCACCAGGCCGGGCAGCTGGGCGAAAAGCGAAGCTCCACCCGAAAGACCCTGCAAGGCGACGAAGCTGAGGAAGAAGAGCGAACCCTTGGGAATGGCGTTGGCAAGCAGGCCAGGGAAGGTGGTGGGCTGCGAAGCGACCTGAGCGACGTACTTGGCGATCTGACCAGCGTTACTCGAGATGAGGGTAAGGAAGAGGAAGTTCTGAACGATCTGGAAGGCGGCGAATCGTCCCTGGAGGTCGAGCTCGATGCCGCTGCGGGTGGGGACACCGCTGAGGCGCGAGAGGAGACGCAGGAAGATGGGAAGCAGCATGTTGAGCACGGCAAGCAGCACGGTGGGCAAGATACCCTGGATGATGCCGACGACAACGTTGGGGATGCTGTTGAGCCAGCCGAGGAAGGGCACGTCGTTGGCGAGACCCTTGATGTTGGAGATGATACCGACAAAGGCCACGGGGACGGCCCAGAAGATGATGAGGCCGATGGTGATGGCCCAGCCAATGGCGGTGCGGATCTTGCGCTCGTATGGGTTCATGTTCATGTTGGCCCAGACGACGTCATCGGGGTGAGCCTCGACGTAGCGGTTGGTCATGCGGTAAGGCTCGTGGTGCGCCTGCGACTTGGCGGCCATGTGGGCGGCGATCTGGGTGTTGAAAAGGATGAAGGCGCTGCTCTGAGCAGGGTAGTTCTTGTAGTCGACCGCAACCTCGGAGCGCTTCTTCTCGATCTCCTTGTTGAGGCGGGCGATCTCCTCGCGGCACCAGTGGATGGTGTCGACCTTCTCGCCCATGCACGGCAGCTTGCCGAGGCGGTGGGTGGGGCGCTTCTTCTTGGGCACGTACTGGTCAGCCACCTCGGCGTTGATCTCGACGTCGGTCTCGGGGAGCGAGCCGCTGGCATCCTGGGCCTTGCCCTTCTTGACGAGCTTGTAGGCGGTCTTGATGAGGCTGGTCTCTGCGCCCTCGAGCTTGTTGCACCACTTCTCACGCTCGTCAAAGAGGTCGGGTAACTCCTTGAGGTTGCGGTTGAGCCAGATCTTGGCGACGCCGCCGGGGAGCTGCGAGTAGATGGCGCGGAGCTTCTTCTCGCTGAGGAGCTCGTTGGGGATGCCGGTGATGAGCACAGTCCTGGCCTGGGCGCTGTTGGCGTGCTGGGGCGAGACGAGGAACTGCTGGCGCAGCTTGATAAATTTGGACATGCGCGAGCGGATGTTCCAGAGAAGCCAGAAGGTGAAGATGTACTGGACGAGGAGCGGGGCGACGAGACGCTTCTGCTGCTGGCTGGAGGTACCGACGCGGCTGAGGATGAAGCGGTTGAATCCGGTGTCCTCACCGGTGGTGTTTGCACCGTATGTGGGCATGAGGACGATCCAGGAGAGGACAAAGGTAGGAATGAAGACCCAGAGCATCATCTCGAGGTACTCCACAAACATGTAGGCGTCGAGGCCGTTCTTCTCGAGGATGGTCGTGGTGGGAGTCTTGAGCCAGACGGGGAGCCATCCGAGGAGCGACTGAGGCAGAGGCTCGATCTGCTCCTCGGGGACGACGAGGTAGGTGCGAGGCGCATAGACGCGCTTGAAGCGGGGACGCGCGATGAGGAAGACGGAGAAGAGGATGGCAAAGATGACGGCGTTGAGCACGATGGCCGAGACGACGGTGGAGGTGGAGGCGTTCGAGTTGGTGGCCTGCTGAGCAGCGGCACGCCCCACAAGCAGGGCGGCCACCACGAGCTGCGCCGGGCCAGAGACAAGGCTGAACGACGGCATGGCGGATGGCGAGGTCGGCGTGGAAACGGTCGACGCGCGCAGAAGCGGACAGGGTCGATTCCAGAAATGGAGAGGATCGATGCGGAAGGTAGGTGAGCAGGGAAGCCAGTGGCCCCAACGAAATGACGCCCAACTTATATAGCAGCGAGAGCCAGCCGAAGCTCAAAGTGACCGACAGGCAGGAGATGCGAGCAAGGCCGACGTGATGGAGAGACACTCCGCTAGCGCCGAAGGGCGGGCGTCAAAAGGCGGAAAAAAAAAGAAAGTGGATCTGATGCAGGGCCAAAGGACGGTCAAAGCTTGTCACACGGATTGCCTTCGGAGGACGGGCAGGTGCAAGCAAGCGAGGAACGGTCGGTGGGCTGCGAACGGTGATGATGTCGGCGGCACGCGCATGCTGAAAAACGCTCACGCATCCTTGACGCATGCACGCATTACGCACGCCAGTCTGGCTTCACTTGGCGAGCGGCACAGGAGCAGAGGCGCTGTTGTTTATCGCGTCCATGCTCGGCAGCAGGTTGTCACTTTTTCGTTCTTTTCTTTTTCCCTCTCTCATTTTTTCTTTGACCTCGTGCCCAGACGCGCTACGGGTGCTGAGAATGTCTCACTGCTCTTTCGCCCAGAAGCGTGCTTGGGTTTGCCGATGTACGCGCCCGAGGGACCTACCGCCAGAGCCGCACGTCATCGCTTCGCACGGCAACACCGCAACACCGCATCTTCGCCCGGTTGGCGCTGGTGACCCGCCCACCACCGCATGTCACATCGCAGGGCTTGGCGGGCTCGAGGTGCTCGTGGAGGATCGAGACAGCTCGCTCGACCGGGTCACCCGAGGACGTGCTGAACAGTTTGCGGGAGCCACCGAATGCCAGCTCGATACGTGACACTGGCGCGTCGACAGCTGTGAGCATCGGCGGCGGGCGTGCACAGCATCTATCGATAACTGCTGAGCTTCAAAGTTGGCACGAGAGGCCGAAGTGCCACAGCCGGGAGCGCCGAATCGCGTGAGCTTTGCGCGTCGGCTCGCTGTGGTCGAGTCAAGTGCCGCTGCACGGTGCTTCCAGGAGCCCCGAGCGAGGCATGCAAATTAGCGTGTGCATGTGCAGGCACGCATGCCCAGAGGGCCCTGTGGATTGCAGCTCTGACACTCCGCCCCGACGCCATCAGTCTGGGCCCCCTTCGAGTCGTAGCCATTCGCCGTTGCTTTCACATTGTAGCCCCTTCATGACCGGCATCCATCCGGAGATGCCTTGTGCTCGGCTAATACTTTTTGCATCGCCTCGACAGCTCGCTCCTCGGCCTGGGCCCACCGTCGTCGAACTGTGGTCGACGTAAGTTACGGTCGGCCTCTCGCTCGTAGGGTCGATGCAATCCAGCAGCCCAGCCGCGCAAGATTGAATTTCGGTGCATTTTTTTCTGTGCACTGTCCGGACCTCACGAGAAAGGCGGCCTTGACGCTGCACGACTGCAGCGTGCATAGTCGATCATTGCAGCGCGTCTGAGACAGGCAGGCGCCGCACGCCAATCGCTCCGTGTTCTTTTTCGGCACGTCCTACAGGCAGAGCGGGTGCGGTCGCCCACCCTAACTTACGGCACGAGAAGTGCCACTGTCACAGCGCAGCTGTCGAGGCGCTTCAAGCAGATCGGCAGGCGCTTTCTGCAGCAAGCGTCGCCCGCCTGTCGAGAGGCCCGTCGTGCCCAATCCAACTTTGGGCTCGACGGCATGCCTCGACCATTCGGCTGCTTTCAGGGAGGCGTTCGCTGCCTGGTCTTGACAAGAGGCAGCGCGGAAGCCCTTTGTAGGCTAGGCCCTTCCCCGACTCTTAGACCCGGCCTTGACATGTGCCTGCAACGCCATGGCGCTTCCTGAACCGCTCGGGGGCCTCGCGAAGAACGTTAGTGGCCGACAACTGCCAAATCCAGCAAGCTCCTCGCCACCTGGCTGGCTTTCATTAAAGGTCGCCTTTCCAGGAGCGCGATACGAGATCGACGCGAGATCTACTGCAATCTAAAGCTAACCAGATCCATAAATTGCCATTCCTCCAGGTTCTTTTACTTCGGCCCCTTTCCGCATATACACTGATCTGGAGTGCTCATGGCTCGCCGTCTTGCTCTTCAGCACGTGGCGGGAGAAGGGACGTTGGTGCACTTGGTGCTCTTCTGCCCGCCAGTCAAGGAGACACCGCTCCACTTCCACTTGGAGCATGACCCCGAGCCGCACAGCAGGTAGACCCGCGTGGCACCCGAAGACACTGACCCAGTGATGCCATTGATATTGACGTTGGTCACCTTGACGCCGTTCGTAGGCGTGCCTGTAGGGCCGCCGTTGAGATAGTCCTGCTGGATGTCGATCCCATACTTGCTGATGCCAGACATTCGAATATCGGCGTACGTCACATTGTTCACAAGCCCAGTCGCTCCCGAGACCGTCTTGATGCGCACCGCGTTCTCGCTGTTCACCACCTGCGAATTCTCGATCCGCACGCCGTCCACCGTATTGTCGCTGCGTCCACCGACGCTGCCGATCGACAGTCCATGGCCGCCCGAGCAGTAGCCGCCGGAGAAGAGGATGTTCGTGCCCGAGTTGATCGCCAGGCAGTCGTCCTGGTTGCGCACATTGGCGTTGGTGATGAAGACGCCGTTCGAGCTTCCTACGTCAAAAGCATCCGTGTTGTGACCCTGTTCGCCAACATCGCCCGCAGAGTTGTCGATCGTCACGTGGTCCACGTTGAGATTCGTGCATCCGTTGATGCTGAACGCCTGCACTGGTGTATTCTTGACATTCAGCGACCGGATGTTGCTGTTGCTAAGCCCATGTGCGAAGAAGAATTTGGGCTTGGTCTTTCCGCCATTGCTGCCCTTCCCGTCCCACCACTGGCCTCCACCGCCGTCGATCAACGAGCCAGAAGCGCCGCTGATGTCGATCTTGTTGCCAGAGATCGAGATCAGCGGACCCTCCCACGGTGTGTATCCAAACGTCGTGGTTCCGGAGAAGACGACCTTGGTTCCGTCCTTGAGTCCAGTCAGATCCAGCGTCTGGCCCGCGGGCACCTTGATATTGGACAGCGTGATGATGCTGCAAGACCCTCTGCCAGCCTTGGCGCTTGCAGCGTCCGTAAACGTGCAGCTGGCAGCTGGAGCCGCAGAAGCACCCGAAGCCCAGCACGCCAAGAACAGGCACGTAAGTAGACCGAGTCGCATCATGCTTGCCTTGAAGGCAGGGATGTGCGAAGATAGGAGGGCTTGATGCGGTGGGGAAATCCCTTGCGCCTTGAGATCATCATCCTCGCCCAGATGCTTTCTTATTATAGCATCGCTCGTACGCTAACAGCACAGACAAGATGTACCGGAAGCTACCAGCTCTCCAAGCGTGGTTCTCAAAGGCGCACGAGCCTGGGGATGCTTTGCAGCGAAGCTGGCAACGCTGGTGCGCAGACCGTACCGGCAACCGGTGGGCGACGAGGTGCTCACCACTCTTTCGGGCCCTGCCTTTCCCCACGCGTGATTTTTGCAGCATGACAGCCGACTCGAGAAGATCGCCGAACACATCGGCAGCATGCTGCTTGAAGCGAGCAGGCGGTGCAACTCATTTCAGGAGCCTGTGTGGACGTGCCGAGACAATAACACAGTGGTTCTCGTTACCCTCCGTCCAGCTATTTTGAAGACTTACCACGGGCGTCCCTGCAGGCTGGCTCGGCATAGTCGACGTTGATCGCTATCGACGCGGACTAGTGCGCGCAACTCGGCATTCTTGTTGGTGGGGCGCAGCAATGCATCGGCGCGCCTGCACGCCGACATGCGGCGGTTTCAAGCGCTGCTGTTGCAACCGCGCAGACCCCTCTGACGTTTGCAGACAACAGCCGTCCAGTCATCTGCACAATACTGCGAGCAAAGTCGATAGGACTGACGGGCCGCAAACGAAAATAAAGAGTAGATCGAGGCATGGTCGAGTCAGTGTTCCGCCGAGAACCGGGGGAGTATCCGTGAATCAGCGCCGAGGCGGGACGAAAAGCGCATCGGTGCAGATTGTCGATAGCCGACCGTCCGAGCCGTGGGCTTCAATGCTTCCACGCAGGTCGTCTTTCCATGAATTCGGCTCGGTCGGCGGAACTGCCTCCGAAGTTGATGCCATGATACCCCCGCAATCCCCACTCACGCCCTCCCCCCTCGCCCAAGCTCGCTCGCTCAATGCCTGGCGATCAAGGTGGGCAAGGTTCAACAAGCGCTCTTCGGGTCGTAGTCAGCCGTCCAGCAACAAAGTCGCCACAGACCGCCGATGGCAGCGTGCCAATCAACCGCACCAGAAATGGCCTGACTCACTCGGATCGCAGCGGTCACAGGGTCAACAGCTGCAAGAGATCTCCGAGTGACAATGTTAATTGCAGGGTATACTGTATGGGTCTTTGAATATGGGAAACGAGCGCGATTCTCGGATCTACGTGGGGGACACGTGGTATGAAGCTGACAAGCGAGTTGTCGTCAAGGCAGACCGGCTCAGTCCGGTCACAAAGTGGCCGGCTGGGCGGTCAGTCGAAGACGACAAAGTCTTGTCGGGCCACCTCCATTCGACGGCGGATCTGGCCGACGATGCGTCGTCGGCGTCCGCCCTGTGCCACCTGCTCGACGGGGAACTCACGAATCTCGTACTCCTGTCCGAAAAAGTCCGGAGGGAGATACTTGATGAGCGAGCTGAAATCGAGCGAGAGCAGCGTGCGATCGAGACCAGTTGGTCGAACGTCGCCCGCCGCCACGACCGCTCCGTCAGCAAACGTGGTGATCACGTTGCCATCGTGCGAGCTGACCGCCTTGAAGCCATCGGCATCGCGGCCGTTGATAGCCGTCCGTACCGCTCGCAGCACCGCGCTACGAATGCGGGAGCGCTGGGCTTGCAAGTAGCGGCGCGCACGGGACTCGGATGCCAAGGTGGTCGAGGTTGTCGATGCGATGGAGTCGGAATCCGCCTCTTCGTACTCTTCAGAGGACTCGTCCGTGGTGTAGGAGGGGACGCGACTGGAAGCAAAGCCTCTGGGTCGCACGCCCGCCTCTTCCTCGAACTGGCGGCGCCAACTGGTGGGAGCGTTGATCCAGACTTTTCGCACGGCATCAGCCACGAGGCGCCGCGCCCGGTCGCTGGATTCGGCGGGGGAGCGGATGGCCAAGAAGGGCTCGGTGTCGTTCGGTCCGGCACCCTCGGGAGCTACGGGGGCTGTGAAGACGGAGTTTGAGTTGATGTAGTTGGGGTTGATCGTCTTGGAAAGCAGTGGGGGCACGGAGGCCAACTGAATGTCTTTGCGCTGCGTCTTGCGGCGGTTGGGCATGAAAAGGTTGACGGGTGGACGGGTAACAGCAGCCGCACGCGCAAAGGCTGCGTGAACCGGACCGGTGGCGCCAAAGTTGGCCGTGGCTGGGGTCGCGCCTGCGCCCGGAGTGACGGCGGGCGTGTTGACAGCGCTGCTGGTGTCTGGGGCGGGCAGGCCGTTGAACAGCTGGCCGGCGGCCGAAGCGAGAGAAGCCTTCTCTTTGGCCACTTGTGCGGCCTCGAGCTTTCTCTTGTGCATCCTGCGTCGGATGCTGCAGATGCACTTGTAACCCCACCAGAGGTGCATGGGATAGGTTGCAACGAGGCTGATGGCGGGACCCCAACTACCGTTGATGCCCGGGGCGCTGCGGCCGTGCGGGGTGACGGAGCAGAGCAGGAGCGCGAAATGGTAGAAAACGCGCGTCGCGAAGAACGTGACGGTGAAGGCAGTGTTGGAGCGGAGCGGAGGGTGGATGGAGGCGATACCCATGATGAGCGTGGGCAGCTCAAAGATGGCCGCGGCTGCTGCGATGTGGCCCCAGCCCTTGTGGACCCAGAGGGAGAAGAGGAAGGTGTAGGCGATGTGGTGGATCCAGCCGGACGAGAGGTTGATCAGCTTGCGGTAGTAGATGGAGCCGAGTGTGAGGTCGGAGAGGAGGTAAGCCACGAAGAAGGCGGCGAGCGGCTCCGCGACGGTTTTGGTCCTGGGTCGAAGGGATTGCAGGTCGAATCCGCCGATGATGAGATCGTAGAGATAGGGCAGACTGGCGATGCACATGACGAAGCTGGCCAAGGTGGTGAGGATCCAGCATCGCTTCTTGAGCATGTCCTTGCTATCGCCCTTGAGCCAGGACTGGGAGAGGGCATGGAATACGACATGCTGCACTACGAGCGAGGCGTAGAAGATGGTGTGCAGTCTGGTGGAAGCAAGAGCCGATCCCTCGGGCAGCACGAAGCGGTCTGCAAAGACAAACTGCGACATGGTTGCGGTGACGATGGTGGTCGGGAGGCGGACGACGGCTCCAAGCGGCCTATGCAAGCAGCCAAGAGCGGGCCAGATCCACGGCGTGCAAGGTAGCTGCAGTGACACGCAAAGACGGTGCGTGGTCGTGCGGCCTGGCGAAGGGTGTAGGGTGGATGGTGGTCGTGAGTGTAGGAGTGTGTGCGGCACAGAGCGGCGCGTTTGTGGTGCGCCGAGTGCGGGGTGTGGAGGGCGGCGGCAGCCAGTGTATCTCGCTGCGCGGGCATCGCTCCTGCGTAGCCAACCCCAAAAACGAACAGAGCGTTGTGGCGACTCGGAGTGTCACTTTCAAGGTTTTTTTCGTGCGAACGTGCGTGCCGCCTTTGCCCCCACGCCAGCCTGGCACGCGCTGTTGCTCAGGGGATTCGGCCCTTTGCCACCGGAGCCCGCGCACGTTCTCAGGGTCCATCGCGTTCCGAGTTGCCGAGGGCAAATGACGGCAGCGCCACTGCAGGCATCGGGCAACGATCGAAGCTGGCGACCCAATGTCCCCGATCCGTCCCCGATTCGAACGATTCACTTTTTTCGGCTTGCCGCTTGCGCCTGTAGAAATATTGTCATGCTCAGGGAGTGCCTTCCAACACACGACACATGCGGTCGACCACAACACAAGGGGGCATTCATTGTATTCATCGAGACATACACAAAGACTACGACCGAGACGTTTTTTTTGGTTTCTTCTCTGCGCAAGCGCTTCGACCACGCTTAGATGGGAGCGGGGATGCTGAGGTTGACGTGCACGGCCTTGATGTTGGTGTAGTTGGCAAGCGCGTACTCGCCAAGCTCTCGGCCAATACCCGAAGCCTTGTATCCACCGAAGGGCACCTGAGGCACGAGCATGTTGTAGCAGTTGACCCACACGGTGCCCGCCTTGAGCTTGTGCGCGGTCTCGAGCGCGCGGCTGACGTCGCGGCTGAAGACGGCGGCGGCGAGGCCGTAGATCGAGTCGTTGGCGATGCGGATGAGGTCCTTCTCGTCCTTGAACTTGGACACGACGACGACGGGGCCGAAGATTTCCTCCTTGGCGATCTTGGCGTCGTGGGGCACGTCGGTGAAGATGGTGGGCTCGATAAAGTAGCCCTCGTTGCCCTTGCGCACACCGCCGAGGTGGAGGTTGGCGTCCTTCTTGCCCGACTCGATGTACTCCATGATGCGGTCGTACTGGAGCTGCGAGACCTGGGGACCCTGGAAGGTGTTCTCGGCGAAGGGGTCGCCCACCTGGAGACCCTTGCAGTAGGCGGTCATCTTCTCCATGAACTGGTCGTAGATGGACTCCTCGACGTAGACGCGCGAGCCGGCGCAGCAGCACTGACCGTGGTTGAACATGATGCCGAACGCGGACCAGCGGACGGCCTGGTCCAGGTCGGCGTCCTTGAAGACGATGTTGGGCGACTTGCCGCCGAGCTCGAGCGTGACCTTCTTGAGGTTGGTCGATGCCGCGGCCTTCATGATGTTGCGGCCGACCAGAGTGGAGCCGGTGAAGGCGATCTTGTCGATGTCCATGTGCTGCGAGATGGCGGCGCCGGCGACGGGACCGAAGCCCGAGATGACGTTGACGACACCGGGAGGGAAGCCTGCCTCGACGATGAGCTCGCACATCTTGAGCGCCGAGAGCGGCGTCTGCTCGGCGGTCTTCAGCACGATGGTGTTACCGGTAGCAAGCGCGGGACCGAGCTTCCATGCGAACATGAGCAGCGGGAAGTTCCAGGGGATGATCTGGCCGCAAACGCCGATGGGCTCGTGACGGGTGTAGTTGAGACGCTTGTTGTCCACCTCCATGACCTTGCCGTGGTTCTTGTCGGCCCAGCCACCGTAGTAGCGCAGGTTGGCGGCGACGGCGGCGACGTCGAAGCCCTTGGCGATGGAGAAGGCCTTGCCGTTGTCGAGCGACTCGATGGCGGCAAGCTCGTCGACGTGCTCCTCGACGAGGTCGGCAAGCTTCATGAGGAGCTTGCCACGCGCATCACCGGGCGTGTTCTCGCCCCAGACGGTCTCGAAGGCCTCGCGGGCGGCCTTGACGGCAACGTCGACATCCTTGGCAGAGGCCTCGGCGACCTGGCCGATCTCCTTGCCGTTGGAAGGGTTGACAGTGGCGAAGGTCTTGCCGTCGAGAGCGGGCACGAACTTGTTGTTAATGAACAGCTCGGCCTTGACGGTGGACTTGATGCCGTTAGGCAGGTCAAGGTTGAGAGTCGGCATGGTGGCGATATCAAGTGGATGGAAGGATAACGAGAATGGGATGCGGGAGTCGATCGAGTGGTAACCAGCGGATCGAATCGTGGGGGGATCGTCCGGTTGATGGTGGCTCCGGCGTCGCTATATATGTGCGCGCTCTTCTTGTGGGTGTCTCTTCGCAGTGCGGGGCAATCGCCAATGTGCTAGCGGTGATGTGCCGATGGCCAAGCCAAGGTGGGAGGGCGGCGCCGCAGCCAGAGCAGCTCCCAAAGCGAGGCAGCGGTTGAGCAGTTGAGCAGCCGTGGCAAGGGTGGCGGGAGCTGCAGCTCCGGCTCGCTTTGGTCCTGGTGGGGTGGAGGGCCACTGCTGTGGCTGTCGGTCAAGAGCCGCAAGTCTGCGTCGACAGTCGGCGCGCGCATGTCGATTGACCGACCATCCGAGGCCCCATTGCCGTCCCTCTGCCCGCCTGCCGCCGCGCGAACGGGCCAACAGCTGCTGCTCGTCTCTGACCCCGCGCGCTTTTTTTCTCTCGGCACATTTTCCCCCGCGTCGCCGCTTGGCAGCTCTTCTTGTGCCAGGGTCGAGGCTAAAATCGGAGGTCAGCCGAGCCCATCCAGAAGGCCCAGCCGCCGCCGACGCCCCGCTCCGCTCCAATTCAGTGCAGCTTGCTCAGTTGAAGCCAGAGCCCGTCCCTGCCTTCCAGAGCGTGGCGAGGGGAAGTTGTCGTGCTGCCACAAAGTGAAAAGAGTCGAGCCTCGCAGACCGTGCAGACCATGTGTGGATGGACCGCAGCCCGAAGCCTGGACCGGCGAGCGGCTTTTCCGAATTTGACGGTCATGCGCCCGTCCGACGCTCGCCAAATTGCCGTCTCTCCGCCTGCCTCTCACTCGGCGCTGGATTTCACCGACCGCCAAAAGAGGCGCGCTTGTCTGCCGCAGGATCGACCTTACAGATCAGATCGCAGCAGCATGCGTTCAGCCAGGTTGACCGTGCCCATATCCGCCGACCAAATAGGCCGAGCATGCTCTTCATCCTGCGAGAGCGTTTTTGCTTGGATCATGGAAGCGCGCAAGGCTCGAGCTGCTACATGTCATGTAGGCGGCGAGTGTCAGTGCCGAGATGTTGAGCAGTGTGTCACTTGCGAGTTTCGAAGCCCAGCCACCGAGGTGTGCGCGAACAAAATAACCGAGTTGCTAGGTGTGGCCCCGCGCAGTCGGCGGTCACCGTGGGTCACGCGGTCTTCCAATCGCTGGCATTTCCCCACTTTGTGCCTCCTCGCGCTGCCTGCGCTCTGTCGTTCGGGGGGATTACCCGTCGGCAGCACATCAACAACCGCCTCGGACTGCCATTCGCGGGACGATTGCTAGGCGTCGGCAAAGCACAAGGCTCGTCTGACAGATAGGGTCATGAACGCAAGACCGATTCGGTCGGCATGGCTGGGGCCATGGGCGCTGGAAGGCATTGTTAGACTTGTCGGAAACGGTTCAGCATCGGTCGCCCTCGATGTCGCCGTTGGCAGGCGAGCAGCGCCTGATTTCGGGATCGTCTAGCAGAAGCATCGACTCGGCAGCCCACACGCGTAAAAACGCCCTGAAGCCCTGCCTCGACCTGCGGTACCTAGCCGCAAACAGGCGCCTGTGTGCTCTTCTCCCACACTCACCGACTCCACTGCCATCGTCACGCACACGGCGCCCTCGAAGCTCATCGAAATCGGCCGATGTTGGCAAGAGACGCTGCCTCAGATCGGTTCGCTGCGTCTCGGTACAATTTCGTCGGTTCGAGATGTTTGCGTCTTGCCTGCCACAGCACTTGCCTTCCGCCTTTGAAGTTAGTGCGGGCGTCCCGAATATGTTAAACACCGCGCTTGACTCAAAGGGATGGAGTCAAGCTCGCTTTCCTGCAGGTGACCCGCAGCGCAAGTCGAGGATGAATCGAGAGATCTTCAAATTCGCCCCTGAACATCTCTCGCTCCCACGTCCTTTCCTTTGCGGCCTTACTGGCGATACAATACTCAATCCAATCCAACGTAGCAGGGCAGGGCTGCCGCAGACGCAGGCTTCGTTGACCCGGGAGCGTCGGACACCGGAGAAAAGACCTTCGGCTATCTTTTTTTTACGTCCGCGATACACTGCCGAATGTGGAGGCACGTGGAACCCCACATTCTCCAACGCCTCCAAAGTCGTGCTCGCAAGGCAAGTCAAGATAAGAGTGACCTGACGATTCTTCACGCAATACTCCCGCGTCGCCTGATCCGCAAACCGCCTTTAGAGAGGTTGGCAAAGTCAAGAAGTCGAGCGGAACCACGATATTGCCAGGACAGAAGAACAGCTTGTATTCGAGAGAAAGCGGCTATCCGACATCCTTCAGGACCCGCCGCAACACTAGCTCTTCCGCTTCATCGAGATCACATTGCTACAGTGTCCGCTCTCCGCAATCTCACGCGTCAGCCATGGTCTCGGCCAAAGGACACATCCATTCCGAGAACGTACCTGCAATCGCTTCGGCAGACAAGCACAAACCCATCTTCCCCCTCATGATCGCCAACGATGGCTTCTCCGAAGTGGGAGAGGAAAAACGAGCTTCGGCAACCTGTTTCTGTGGCAACATCCAGCTTTCATTTGTAGGTACCACGGCTCGTCGCCTGTCCTTGGACGCCAACCTGACGGTCTGAACATTTGTTCTGCAACCGCCTTTGATCCCTTTGGCAGCCCACTGTCGGGCCTGGCTTCCACGGCACCTTCGTGTGCCATTGCACCGATTGCCGCACCGTGACTGCCTCCATGTTCGCAACCAACTTCACCGTCGCTCTCTCTCACATGGAATTCGTCCGTGGCAAGTCATGCCTCAAGCAGTACGCCCAATCTACCACCATTGCCACTGGAAACACAATGACCAACTCCTTCTGCTCCAATTGCGGAACACTCATGTACAGAGCCTCCAGCGGATTTCCCCATCTCGTCTACATGAGGGTCGGCACCGTCGACGACTTTGCAATACACGAGACGCGGCTCAAGCCCACCGTCGAGATCTTTTGCCAAGATCGCGTTGCCTGGCTCGAGCCCATCGCAGGGACTAGGCAAGCTTTCGGAAATCCGCTGACTCGCCGTGCATCAAAGCTGTAAGCGGTCATGGCGGTGCGCACATCATCAACGATCTTTGGCACTGCGCCGTGAAATGTCCTCGTCAGACTATGTCACAGTCGAACAAGCTGCAGCGACTTGCATTTGTGTCTTGGTTAAACGATGCAGAGCCGTTGAGGACTCACTACTTGGCGTTGCGAGCATCCACAAAGCCCCGCACCACTTGCTGGTACTCGGTCTTGATGGGCAACGGCCCGCAAGCGATCTCTTTCTCGGCGCCATCGCTGCCATGCTGCAGGACTGCGATGCCGTCTTTGACGATGACGTAAGACGTTTCATAGTTCTGGTGCACCGCCCTGTTGAGGGCATTCCAGTCCTCAGAAGCCAGGCTTTCTTCCGGGATGCCTTCGCTCGGGCAGCTGTCACCCAGAGGACACGGCTCGTTGTTTAACTTTTCGATGTAGTGCTCGACTTTGATCCGATATTCAGGTTTGATGGCAAACGGGCCGTATGTTGGGTCGTTCACGTTGTCGATGGTCCACATCCTTACCAAGAGTCCGCCCGGTACAACCTCGTAAGACATGGCGCGGTCCTGATGACGATCGATCAGAACCTTGTCGATGAAGTGCCAGTCATCAGCGCTGAGACTTTCGCTGAGTATGTGCATGGTCGCCAACTCTGAAAAGCCGAAAGTAAAGAGAGCAGAACGACCTTGGGAGCAAGGCAGAGCGGATAGTCCCTGTAGGGAAGCAGACGATCCGACGCAGAGTTGGGTTTACTGAGACAACATGCAAAAGCTGAGACATGGCTTTGGATGATCTGCAGCGTCCTCTGCTCGTCCTATCGGGAACCGGCTGTTAGGCCCTGCCACGGCACCACCGGCAACGCGACTGGACTCCTGCGACTGCGGCACTCGGAACTCGGCTCTGCCGACGCCGCGGAGAAACCCGCCGCCTGTTCTTCCGACTGTTTTTAAGGCCGAAGGGTCTAAGGACCGCGAAGCGGCTTCGACCGTAGACGAGGGGCTACGG